TTTTGTGTGAAGGCAACCATCAAGGTAGGGGCAGGGATGTCATTCCTCATGTCATATTCTCCAGCGAGGAAAACAGTGTGAAACTGTTAAATCACCAAATCTCGCTCCTGAGACAATCACAGGCTGGAGTGTCTTAGATTTTCAATGTAGTTTTACGTGAGGTTGTATGCACAGGAGTGCATAGGAATCCCAACACACCAGGAAATGTACTGCCAATTTTTGAGGAGGAATTCAAGACAAAATGTACATTTTCAAGGAATTGCTTAGGCACAATTTATATTTCTAGACTTCTGTTCCCACAGTGAACATAACAAACATAACAAATCTTTCTGAGTTCAATTCCATTTAAAGGGTCAGAAGAATGATCATTCAGGTGCTTTTCATATTGACCAGAATGCAGACCTATAAAGTCAGGCTGGGATCCAGGGATCCCTCTGTATGACTACCAGGTTCAAATTAACCTGCCTTACTGCCTGACCTCAGTTAGTCCTGGCCAATATAACTGTGCATGTACCGCTGTGAAGTTTCATTAGTTCATATATAGATTATGCTGTTAATACTAATGACTAATGAACACCATTTTGTTGATCTGTAACCAAACTGAGTAGCTGTGTTGCATTTTATATATATATATATATATATATATATATACACATTGCTCAAAAAAAAATCAAAGGAACACTTTTTAATCAGAGTATAGCATCAAGTCAATTAAACTCCTGGGATATTGATCTGGTCAGTTAAGTAGCAGAGAGGGTTGTTAATCAGTTTCAGCTGCTTTGGTGTTAAAGAAATTAACAACAGGTGCACTAGATGGGCAATAATGAGACCATCCCCACAACAGGAATGGTTTTACAGGTGGAGGACACTGCCATTTTTTTTCCCTACTTATCTTTTCTGACTGTTTTTCACTAGTTTTGCATTTGGCTAGGGTCAGTATCATTATTGGTAGCATGAGGCGATACCTGGACCCTACAGAGGTTGCACAGGCAGCCCAACTCCTCTAGGATGGCACATCAATACATGCCACTGTCAGAAGGTTTGTTGTGTCTCTCAGCACAGCCTGAAGAGCCTCAAGAGCATGGAGGAGATTCCAGGAGACAGGAAGTTACTTGAGGAGAGCTGGGCAGGGCTGTAGAAGGTCCCTAACCCATCAGCAGGACTGGTACCTGCTCCTTTGTGCAAGGAAGAACAGGATGAGCACTGCCAGAGCCCTGCAAAATGACCTCCAGCAGGCCACTGGTGTAAATGCCTCTGTCCAAACAATCAGAAACAGACTTCATGAGGGTGGCCTGAGGGCCCAAAGTCCTCTATTGGGCCCTTTGCTCACTGCCCAGAACCTTAGAGCTCGATTGACATAGGTATCAGGGAGGAAATCCTTGGACTCATTGTCAGACGCTACGCTGGTGCAGTGGGTCCTGGGTTCCTCCTGATAAATGACAATGCCAGGCCTCATGTGGCGAGAGTATGCAGGCAGTTCCTGGAGGATGAAAGAATTGAATTGATACCATTGAATGGCCTCCACGCTCACCTGACCAAAATCCAATAGAACACCTCTGGGATATCATGTTTTGGTTCACCCAAAGCCACCTGGTTGCACCTCAGACTGTCCAGGAGCTCAGTGATGCTCTGGTCCAAATCCAGGAGGAAATACCCCAGGATACCATTCGTCATCTCATTAGAAGCATGCCCAGACATTGTCAGGCATGCATACAAGCATGTGGGGGCTATACAGAGTACTATTTTGAGTTGCTGCAATGAAAGTTCAACAAAATAGACCAGCCTGCTGCATCATTTTTTTACTTTGATTTTCAGGGTGTCTTTGAATTCAGTCCTCTGTAGGTTGATCGTTTTCATTAATGATGGGGCATCCTTACGTTCCTAACACATTGCCCAGTCCATATTTGTATAGCTATCCAGCATGATATTTTTCCCCATTGAGATCTGATATGTTTTCAAAGTGTTCCTTTAATTTTTTGGAGCAGTGTATACATACAGTATATAAAAGTCTTCTCAGAATTGCATAAAAATGTGTTCATTTGTTCTAGAAGAAACATCAGATTTCAAACAAATGCTGTTGGAAATGTTTACACAAACTGTTGTCTAATACAATGGTAATAGATACTATTGTTGTATATTGGGCAAATGTCAGTTGCCAGTTAGATGCTTCCATTGTGTTAAAGGAACTTTGTTATTGAGGTCAACAATAGCTTGACCTTTTGACATATATGGCCTATAGCAGCTATCATAAAACGGTTCAATCTAGAGGTTGAGTTGGGAAATGTTCACTAATACAAAATTAAGTAGTGAGAAAAGATACACCTATGTGGGATTGTCTACCTAAACTTTCCAATTAAAAGGTAACCAGCATCAGCTGACAGGGGGTTCTGTAATGACACAAGAACAAAGAAGGTCTGTGAAGAAACTCCATCTGAGAATGATGATATTGCCCAATTTCTTGAAATCGCTTGCCTGGAACCTTGGTTGCCTACGGAGATTGTGAAGCTGCTATAACCCAAGCGGCGTAACTTTTTAGTCTATCCTTATTGTATGCAGACCACTATTCATGCTCATTTGCTAGGAAAGATAGGTAGTGTGTGTGCATGGGTGTTGTATGTCTTGACTTGTTTTCCTACAATTGCTTGCACGGCGTTTCTGTTTAGTAAAGTATATTATTATACTACAGAGGTTTTTATACTTCCTTGCTATTACCACAAAAAATCTTAATGGATGCAAAGCAAAGTAGTAGGTGTAACTGGCCAGGAACCCCTGACATTACACAGGACAGCAATCATCTTGGGGTTATTTGTTAGGCCCTAAAGTCCTTGAAACTCAACCCAACATTTCCAGTACAGCAATTAGTATTGTAACCCTTAGAAGTCATGTTAGTGGTGCTCCACTAGGGAAGGAAGGGTCACTCTTTAGAGATTTGGTTACTATGTTTGCAGAGAAAGTGGTATTGCAACTAAATATTAAAATATTCATGGAGCTGGTCCCTTTTAACAGTTGGCATTTCAATGGCTTTCATTTTGAAAAAAAAAAAAAAAAGAATATTTGTATATTGTTTAAATGTATTGTTGTGAGATTTAGTTTTTCAAAACATAACAAAAAAATAAACATGAGCTGACATAGTGTTTATCTATAACTTAGAAAAGATAGAATTATCTGGGCACTAAACCTCTTGGGTGTCCAGTCCTGAAAATGTGATTATAGCTTTGGGAGTCACATTTAAACAAAAAGACTCAAATCAAAGCTCTGTTCTACAGTGCTTATACTAAATGTATGTTAACCTTTGGTGATTACATGGTGAAGCCTTAACATTTTTTTTTCATGCTGCTAAGAGATGGTATTTTACACAGAACCTTTCGGTTTCTGTCTCTATATTAACACCCTGTAGTACAGATCATACTTATGAAAAGAAATGCAACTGGAAAGGTTATGAGCAACTGTACTAAAAGAAAGTTAAAAGATAGTTTAAAGGATAAGTTCATTTTTTGTTCACCTTTTTTCTCCTAAATTCTGGCTCCCCTGTGTACCAATATAGCATTATTGTACTTCTTTTGCAGAAATTCCAAAACTTTCCATTTTTTATACACACCTTTATGTCAGTGTCCAGATGGCTGTACACAAAAGCTTTTCCATTACTTCTGCAGATACTTTAGGGTCATGACACAGGAAGGAGTTGACCAGCTGACCTCTTTAGCACACACCCTGCATCATCTACCCTCCTACCTCCCACCCTCTTCCAGGTGCACGACTATTGAATAAAATGCAATCAATTAGTGATCACTGTTCTCAGGCATCCAAAGGAGATTATGCAATCAGATTGTATAATGCATGGTGAACTTCACAGAATCCAGAACACAATTCTCCTGTTTTCAATACTACAGCTCTATACACATAGGCTGATATCTGATCTCTAAGCACACTATGCCAATTGAATCATCATTGCAAGATGAAAGTTAAGCTGTAACTAAACCCACAACAGTAAAATCAGTCTGTATATGCAGTAAAGCATGCTTGTTGTACTCACTGTAGAACCTAAGGGGTTAATCATCTGCATTGTGTAAAAAGGCCATTTGATCCTGACTTCTCTGCTCCTCCTCTTGTTCAAATGTCCACATCTTATCTCCTGATAAGCCAGACTGAACTGTAGCCATTCTGCACATGCTTAGTTTAGTGTGTATTATTGCTAGAGAGGTTTTTTTTTTTCTTGGGAGAGTGCATGTGATCAGCACAGGGCCAATCAGCACTGTCCAGACTGAGGTCAGGGGTTTTGCATCCTTCTAGAGCAGAAAGAAAACTCCTCCTACAAGCTTTAACCAGTGCTCTGCTGAACACTGATAGAAGTCACAAGACTGCTCTAACTGCTGATGAGAAAAGGTATTTAGCAGTTTATATTTACTAAAATAACTGTACTTCCATGCTCTGTGTACTGTGGGAGACCAGATATAGTGAATGCAGGGTCCGGGGTTTAGTAACACTTTAAAGTGTTACTAAACCCAGGACCATACATTGAAAATATGCAGTGTCAGAATCCCTTTAGGAGCAATGAACCATTGGGGTGTATCTCATCAAAAATCATCTTTTATAGAGGATGCCTAAAATCTTACTTATATCTTCTGTTAAAATAAGTGAGCCAATCACACAAGTTGGAAATGATGTTTCTGGAGGTTGCCAAATTGCATTGAATTTTACATAAAATTACAGCACTGCCAGTAGAAATAGAAAGATAGTTTTTTTTTATTAACATTCAATTACAATATGGCTTGTATAAGTTATATATTTTTTTTATTTGCTATATTTTTTCAATAAAAGTCTAGATATCCTTTCAGCATAATTCAAATTAATTGGACAATTCATACAGGTGCATTGGGGGCCATTTTGTTGTGTATCCTTTAGCAGCGTTACAAAAAAAAACAGAGCAGAGATGCATCTTATTGTATAGGTCTTGCATTTTTTTACATATGTGCATGTGAAAAAACACATACAAACATGCTTAAATACGCCTGAGCAGGGGCGGACTGACCATTTGGAAACTCGGGCACTGCCCGAGGGCCCGGGGTCAGTAGGGGGCCCCATGAGATGCCCCTGGTACCTTTTTCATAGGCTTTTTTGAGTTTGGGCAAGGACACAGGAGCCCCATGGTCCCCTATTGCCCGGGGGCCCCATGAGTTGTCAGTCTGCCCCTGCGCCTGAGCTCATGTAAACGTGTGATTGTGTCTAAATGCGTGGAAATATGTTTAAATGCATTAAACGCAATGGATATAAATGCGCCCTTAATGTGTTTTAATGTGACTAAGCCAGTGGTCTCCAAACTTCAAATAAAGGGTCAGTATACTGTCCTCCAGACTTTAGGGGGGCCGGATTGTGGACAGTGGGGGTAGAAAATATTCTGTGCCCAGCATCAGTAAGAATAAACAAGGCTACAGGGTTTGTAGTCAGAAGGAGGAGGAATAGTGCCCCATCACTGGTGTCAGTGGGAAGAATAATGTCCCATCATTGGCGTCAGTGGAAGGAATAGTGTCCCATCATTGGCATTAGTGGAAAAAATAGTGCCCCATCATTGGTGTCAGTGGGAGGAATAGTATCAGTGGGAAGAATAGTGGCTCATCATCTATATTAGTGGTAGGAGTAGTGCCCCTTCATTGGTGTCAGTGGGAGGAATAGTGCCCCATCGTTTGTGTAAGTGGGATGAATAGTGGCCTATCATTGGTGCCAGTGGAAGGAATAGTGCCCCTTCATTGGTGTCAGTGGGAGGAATAGTGCCCCATCAATCGGTGTCAGTGGGAGGAATAGTAGCCCATCATTGGTGTCAGTGGGATGAATAGTGCCCCATCATTGGTGTCAGTGAGAGGAATACTGTCCCATCATTGGTATCAGCAGGAGGAATAGTGTCCCATCATTGGTGTCAGTGGGAGGAATAGTGCTCCATCATTGGTGTCAGTACAAGGAATAGGGTCCCATCATTGGTGCCAGTAGAAGAATAATGTCCCATCATTGGCGTCAGTGGAAGGAATAGTGTCCCATCATTGGCATTAGTGGAAAAAATAGTGCCCCATCATTGGTGTCAGTGGGAGGAATAGTGTCAGTGGGAAGAATAGTGGCTCATCATCTATATTAGTGGTAGGAGTAGTGCCCCTTCATTGGTGTCAGTGGGAGGAATAGTGCCCCATCGTTTGTGTAAGTGGGATGATGAATAGTGGCCTATCATTGGTGCCAGTGGAAGGAATAGTGCCCCTTCATTGGTGTCAGTGGGAGGAATAGTGCCCCATCAATCGGTGTCAGTGGGAGGAATAGTAGCCCATCATTGGTGTCAGTGGGATGAATAGTGCCCCATCATTGGTGTCAGTGAGAGGAATACTGTCCCATCATTGGTATCAGCAGGAGGAATAGTGTCCCATCATTGGTGTCAGTGGGAGGAATAGTGCTCCATCATTGGTGTCAGTACAAGGAATAGGGTCCCATCATTGGTGCCAGTAGAGGAATAGTGACCCATCATTGGTGTCAGTAGAAGGAATAATGGCCCATTATTGGTACCAGTGGGAGGAATAGTGCCCCAATGGACAGATAAAGGCTAGTAGAGGGCCACATCTGGCCTTCGGGCTGTAGTTTGGAGACCCATGGTCTAAGCAGATGATTTTTCTGCCAGCAGGAACCTGCTTGCCCTTCTGAAAAATGCACATGTCCGTGTTAACATGGCCTAATAGTTTATCTATTCAGCCTTATCTGCCAGGAGAATTTACCATGGAAAACATAGAAATATCTTTTGTTTGCAGCTTGATTTTTTTAACTTTCCTTTCTTTTTCAGTTAGGAACCAGATATCATTTTCACCCTATACTGCTGAGGTAAAATTATGGGTATCTTCTGCATTAGGATTTTCATCTTTTGTAAGATGCTTTTTAAGTACATGCACAATAAGCTTTCCTATTGCAGCAGTAAAACTGATTGTGTTATTATAGTAAATGGAGACCTTGGCATTTAGTAGTGAATTTCAGATGCTTCGGCAAGAGCTATATTAGCATTCATGAAATAGATTTCTAGAATCCTTTCAATATATAATTAACCTGATCATGTACTTATAGTGAAGGCAGATCCTCCCTTTCAGCAGTCAGTCTGTAAAAACACACTTGCCTCCACTGAACAGAAACAAGTAATAGATGTACAGCATAACTGAGTAACATCTAGTTTACTAAAGAGTGTATCATAAAACAATTACCATTTAAAAAAAAATATTTTTTTTACCTTTTTTTCTCTTTTTCCTATATCAGTGGTGCTGATAACTTGCAGCTTCTTTGTAGTAATTTACTCGCCAAATGCAAGTACTCCAATGTTAGTTGAATGCCATTTGTTAGGACGGGTTTCATGATGGAGATAAATGTGTGTTGCATAATGTGTGTTGAAACAGCAAATTTTAAGCTGTCCATAGATGGATCCAGCTGAGATTCAATCGATCTATGGGCAGGCTGGTTGTACCCAAGTGTATCCATCAATCTACTTGGGTACAACAAGCCTGTCGGATTTTTTACTTGGAATTACCACTGACGTCTATAGCTGTTAGCTGTAATCAATGTGCTCTGCTGGCTGGGAAGGCTCTCTGCTGACAGAATACAATAGTGCTGTAGGAGATATTCCCCCATCAATACTGACTGTGTTGATGGAGGAACCAAGCATATTTTCTTTCCTTCCACCCATGGTGAAAGGAAGGAAAATGGCAATATCATTAGCTTGCCTTAGTCTCCATTGGAAGACCATGTGACAGATTCAGCAATCTACTATCTGGTGAGCACTTCCTTGTATCACTATCAGAGAGGTAGCAGCCCAGGACAAGAACAGGGTCCACTTATACTAGACTTCATGCACAGACTTACTTCACAGTACAGGTGAAACTCGAAAAATTAGAATATCGTGCAAAAGTTCATTTATTTCAGTAATGCAACTTAAAAGGTGAAACTAATATCTGAGATAGACTCATTACATGCAAAGCAAGATAGTTCAAGCCGTGATTTGTCATAATTGTGATGGAATGGAAACTCTCAGCCTGTGGCATTTCTGAGGTGTTTTGGAAGACCAGGATGCTTCCATAGCAGCCTTCAGCTCTTCTGCATTGTTCGGTCTCATGTCTCTCATCTTTCTCTTGGCAATGCCCCATAGATTCTCTATGGGGTTCAGGTCAGGCGAGTTTGCTGGCCAATCAAGCACAGTAATCCCACGGTCATTGAACCAGGTTTTGGTGCTTTTGGCAGTGTGGGCAGGTGCCAAGTCCTGCTGGAAAATTAAGTCAGCACCCCCATAAAGCTCATCTGTGGAAGGAAGCATGAAGTGCTCCAAAATCTCCAGGTAGGCGGCTGCGTTGACCCTGGACTTAATGAAGCACAGTGGACCAACACCAGCAGATGACATGGCTCCCCAAATCAACACAGACTGTGGAAACTTCACACTGGACTTCAAGCATCTTGCAGTGTGTGCCTCTCCATTCTTCCTCCATTCTCTGGGTCCTTGGTTTCCAAATGAGATGCAAAAGTTGCTCTGATCAGAAAAGAGGACTTTGGACCACTGAGCAACAGACCAGGTCTGTTTTTCTTTAGCCCAGGTAAGACACTTCTGACGATGTTTGTTGTTCAGGAGCGGCTTGACAAGAGGAATACGACATTTGAAGGCCATGTCCAGGATCCGTCTGTGTGTGGTGGCTCTTGATGCACTGACTCCAGCCTCAGCCCACTCCTTGTGAAAGTCCCCAACACTTTTGAATGGCCTTTTCCTGACAATCCTCTCCAGGCTGCGGTCATCCCTGCTGCTTGTGCACCTTTTTCTTCCACACTTTTCCCTTCCACATAACTTTCTATTAATGTGCTTTGATACAGCACTTTGGGAACATCCAAATTCTTTTGCAATTACCTTTTGAGGCTTTCCCTCCTTATGGAGGGTGTCAATGATGGTTTTCTGCACAACTGTCAGGTCAGCAGTCTTTCCCATGATTGTGATTCCTACTGAACCAGACTGAGAGACTATTTAAAGGCTCAGGAACCCTTTGCAGGTGTTATGGTTTAATTAGCTGATTAGAGTGGGACACTTTGAGCCTAGAATATTGCACCTTTTTACAATATTCTAATTTTCTGAGATTGTGGATTTGGGGTTTTCATGAGCTGTAAGCCATAATCATCACAATTATGACAAATCACGGCTTGAACTATCTTGCTTTGCATGTAATGAGTCTATCTCATACTGTATATTAGTTTCACCTTTTAAGTTGTATTACTGAAATAAATGAACTTTTGCACAATATTCTTATTTTTTGAGTTTCACTTGTACATCCATCAAGAACCAATTTTTATTTCTATGGGTCCAGTCTGCTATCACACAGACACAAGGACAGAATGTTGTCACCTTACAAAAAGAAGGCAGTATATATATTATATAAGATATTGTAAATAGGTTTTGAAATTAAATTATATTGTTATTTTGATAATAGAAGGTTTTATTGACTGGGTTTATGTACACTTTACAATTTTAGATAAAAACTTTTCTGTTAATTTTTTTTTAACATTATGTTTATTAATAAATATATATGATTACATTCTGCTTTATTTACCTCTTATCCTGGGTGAAAATGTTCACTCCAGTAGTCTTTTTTTTTTATCAAGGACTGCCATGCTCCATGGTAGACATGTGCAATTTGTTTTAGTACGAATCGAAATTCGGATGAAATTTGTGTGAGTATAAATGCAGATGTAACAAATTTCAACTAATCCAAAATAAACTATAATGAAAACAACAATTCATATTATTTCTTTTCATTTGGATGTTGATGGGACAGTTTGGGCCTTTTTTTAATGTTTGAAACATTCAAAATAACGCAATGAATGACAACTGATCCAAATTGATTCAGATCCATTAATTTTTATTCTAGTGAGTGTATTATGATAAGATTCTTTTTGTACTGGGGTTGAACTTTGTTTAATCTGTATGTGCGCGGCCCAAGAAACAAATTCAGTTGGGAACGGGGCAATTAATTCAATTTAATAACATTATGAATATAGCCAATCTTCCGAAATAACAAAACAAAAACAGAACTTCCAAAAATGGGAATCAATTTGGAACAATGAATATATACTTTCCCAATACAACAAATCAGTTCCGAAAAGGAATCATTCTTACATAACGATTATGATGAAACAAAATGATTTACTTAAT